GCCCACACCCTCTGGCAGTCCCGGCGCCCGGGTCCCCGTCCGGTGTCCCCGCTTCCACCCGGATCCTGCCCCCTCTCCTGGGAAGCCCTCCTTTCCGCTTGGACACACGTTGCACTTTCCCTGTCTCCCCAGCCTGGGCGTTTGGGGAAACTAAGGCACCTCCACCCATGGATTGGTTTGGCTGGGACCTGGCTTTGCCAGACGGTCTGCTTCATGGGCAGAGTAACCTATAAATGTATTAAGGGTTCTGTCGATGTCGTTATTTGGTGGCAAGTGAGGTATGTTTAATGACATAAACTACCATCATACACGCAGTCAAGGCATGCCCTTAACCTCAACCCCCTGCAACAATGCTTGTAGACAGAGTGCCTTACGAAGGAAATAATGTAGGTCTTCTTCAAATAATCGCCTCTTGTTACAAAAATGTGTGTGGCACGCCAAAGCTTGGGCCTCGTGACCAAACACACTGGCTTACATTGGGGGTTCCACCAACGTTGGCGCGGGTGCCGCCTAACCCGCATCTCACTTGTTTCACCGTGGTCACCATAATGCCCACTTTCCAGAGTAGGCATGCGGGTTAAAACATCTAGCTCAATGCCTGATACCTACTAGATGTTCAACAACTTTCAAGTGTTTTATATTTTCAAAATTCTGTATGTTGCATGAAGTGAGGCATACCTCCAGTGAGCTCTAGCAGCCTCTTCCTGAGAGTTTCCCAAGGAATGCAGGGCACAGCCACCTTTGTTTTCTTGTGTCTCGGGACCATCCTTCAAAGACATCCAAGTAACTGTCTTTATCCTTCCCTACGCTTTTCTATCCTGCCAGTCCTAGACCCTTAGTTTAAATCTAGAATCAAAACCCACCTCCTGGACAGTCTACCATGACTGATGCCTCCTGTTCAGTCCTCCCTGAATGCTTTGGAATCACCCAGTAGTCATTTATAATTTTGGTATATTTGTTTTTCTAATTACTGTTTGGGTTGTGTTCACCCTTCTGGTTGGATAATAAGCATCTTTGGAGTCAAGAATCTTGTCTTACTTATATTCCTCCTCCAACCTCCTCTGCCTTGTGTACTGTACACAGTGGGCACTACATTCAATAAATATTGTTATCCAGCTGATTGGCACACTGAAATACAGTTTTAAGTGACACAGCAGAAATGGGGGGGACAACATACCAGCAAACACACCAAAGCAAAATGCTACGAAGAAACAGCAGCAGCTATAAACCACAGAGCAAAAGATGATGGAGCTAGGGCTTTTGCTACTGTTAATGTATCAGGCAGCAAAAGTCATGTAACTCATCATATTTTCCCTTGCACCTTGATTTCTAGATCAGAGCTCAGATTTGTGCCAGTTTTCAGGAGTTTCTCTCAGACTAGGCTTCCTAATACGAATGCCTACTGTTCCCAACCCCCAACCCTGCCTCCCTCCTTTTGCCCCTCTTCTCTTTGTTGTGATTAATTTGTATCTGTGCCTTCACTGTCAATCAGAAATCAATAAATGTAACACAGTACCCAAAACACCTCTGTTACTACTGCTGCTGTGTGCACCCAAGTCCGTGCCCAGGCCATGGAAGACACCGTGTACGTTTACCTGTGTTTGTGTGTACAGTTGACCCTTGAACAACACACATTTGAACTGTGCAGTTCCACTTTATGGACATTTAAAAAAAATAAATCCTGTCGCTCACCCCTGACCAGCAGGAAGGAGGCAACAACAACGTGTTCTTCTCAAAGCGGTTTATTCAGCCTTTACACCATGCCAGCTTCTTCGTTTTTTCTTTTTCTTTCCCGTTGTCCCGTACTTATATCCCTTGGTCTCCACCCACAAGTCCCGTACCAGCGTGTCAGCAGTTCATAGGCTCTGCAGCGTTGCACTTGCGCGGTGCGCAGTGAAGGAGGGCCCGGCGGTATATCACGCGCCTAATCATGGGACTTGGCAGAGGTCCCGGGCGCCATCTTGGCTCAGGCCGCGCTCTCCACATCTCCCCCTTTTTTGTTTTATGAACGAGAGAATGCCTGTCTTAGGTTGTCCCTTGCGGAAACGTTCCTTACCCGTCATTGGGAATACAAGCAGCGCTGGCCTGTCCCCTGTCTTAGGTTGGTAACGTTCCCAGGGGATCTTACCCGTCTTTGGCTACTTCCCTAGCAGTCCAATCCACACTTGGGGAGATCGACCAGCCTCCATGGCCGCGAGAGCCTACACCACGAGGGCCTGTTCCTTCTTGTGCTGTTGCCGAGCATTACACATGCACCGAACAAAAGGGAGGCATAGAAGTACAAGACAGATCCCAAGACCCGCAAGTCCTGCCCATTCCTTTACATGAGATGCAATTGTGGTGACCCATCCCATGAGTCCTTTAACCAGCTTAGTATCTACTCGGGTGGAATTGATGATTACGATGGGTGTACGTAGTTCTCCAAGCAGCTTATCAAAGTTCTCTGACCAATTACCGGCATTGGCCTGGGAAAGGCCGAAAGGATCCCCCAGCGTACATCATTCTGCTGTCCCGTCGCACGCAGGTCAGCGCTGGCCATAAGCACAGGATCAGCAGGCTCGTCATCCTGGACTATCCTGGTTAGCCTCTCCGGCACCCACAGCGGCTGTTGGTGGTTCTGGGGAAAGACACAAACAGACCCTCTGGCCCATGTTAGTACTGGATCAGGGCCCTGCCACTGACCGGTAAGGAGATCCTTCCACATAACGAGCCCTCTTTTGGCACAATTAGGGCTAGCATGACGATCCGCCGCAACCCGGCCCAATTTGTCTTCATTTAAAAAATTTAATGTAAAAAGAGCAATGGATAATCGTTCCCTGGGGGTGGAGCCGGCGGGGGCAATTCCCCCCTTTTGTTTAATTAAACATTCTTTAAGGGTTTTCAAGTTGTCCGTCCGAATTTGAAGCTTTTGGGGATGTACTGATTCCAAGGTTATCTTGCTTCCCAAATAATTAACTATTAAATCCTTTTGAATCTTTTCGGGGGCAACCACCAAGGACCACTGACTCAGGTTAGACATCACACTCTCAAGAGCCGCATCAAGGGTACTCTCATGTCAAGCAGTGATTAGGATATCATCCATATAATGATATATTTTTACTTCAGGAAAGGCAGACCTAGTCTCTTTTAGAGCATTATCAACATATAGCTGACACATTGTAGGGCTATTGGCCATGCCCTGAGGCAGCACCGTCCACTCGTACCTACTGTCTGGTTTCTCATGATTCATAGAAGGCACAGTAAAGGCAAACCTAGGAGTATCACTAGGATGCAGAGGTATGGAGAAAAAACAATCCTTTATATCCAAAACTATTAAGGGCCAATGTCGTGGTAAAGTGGACGGTAATGGGAGCCCACGTTGGACTGGCCCCATTGGGACCATTTGCGCATTAACTGCTCGCAAGTCATGCAGGAGTCTCCACTTACCAGACCTTTTCTTGATTACAAAGATAGGAGTATTCCAAGGGGAAGTAGAGGGGCGAATATGACCCAAGGCCAATTGTTCCTTCACCAGCTCGTGAGCAGCGGTTAATTTTACTGAGGGGAGTGGCCACTGAGAAACCCACACGGGATCCTCAGTCCTCCACGTAATGGGTAGTGCCCTCTCAGTGGCCCCTACGAAAAACCCAGCCCCCTACGATCTTGTTTTCTAGGGGTAGCTACTGGAGAAGTTCTACCTTGCAGGGAGCGACCTAATCCTTTCCCGGGGACATATCCCATGCCATGCATGATGCCTCTCACTTGAGGGCTATAACATCCTTCATTTGTTAGCTTATAACCCATAAGCTGTAATATATCTCGGCCCCATAGAGAAATTGGGACCTTCAGCACATAGGGCTGGAAATCCCCATGGTGGCCCTCTTCATCTTTCCATGGCAACAAGCGAGAACTAATCTGCCGCATCTGGGCGTACCCCAGGCCTGTTAAGGTTTGGTCTGACTGCTGTGTGGGCCACCCCGGCGGCC